TTACAAGGGAGTTTAGAGAGAGTGAATTCGGATCCCCTTTCTGAGGTTTACAAGGGGTATATATACTAAGCTGGGGGGACAGGTCCACGCGCGCCCACGTGGGGGCACGTAGCTGACGTGGTGCGAGATGACTGTCCCTGAGCCGCCTTGTCATCTTGCGAAGGGGATTTCCCTCCTTGTCACGTTCTGGCTTGGAAATATTCCTCCAGGATCTCTGCAATTCCAACCACTAAAGTCCAAGTCCTTTTGGACTCCTCCTGCCGACACTCCTCGACCTCTAAAAGTTGTACCGGTTGATTTCTGAAGGCTTGGATTAATTGTCTTCGGAATCGGTTCCTGCTGATGGAATAATCTGACCGGTATACTTTCCGAAGTGTACCGGTCCACTTTTTGGTCACTCGGTGGTCCATTCAGATCTCTCTTCAAAGTTTGACTTCTTTGACCGGTCAAGTATCCGGTCCTGACCTTTGACCGGTCGTGGGTGAAATACACCCATCAGGGTAAAAGTGACTTTTTAATAGAAATGAGAAGTGTTTTGTGGGACGGATAAAAAAAGAAAGGGGAAATGTTTCACAGGACGGAGGGAGTATTTTTTTTTTAAAGAAAAAACTGTACAATACTCTACTGTGATACCTCAAAAATGCTCACTACCCCATCGTAGTCTAAAAAATACACCGTATCCCGCTTAAGTGATCTAGAATCTTTTCACTAGGGGGAGGGGGAGGGGGAGGGGGTACCGTGCATGAAGTACAACAAGGAATTTCTGTCATCTCATTTTTTTAATCAACCATGGAAGATATGCAGTAACACTTTGATGGTTTATACTGACATAAAATATTAATGTGATAAAAAAATTACATTAACAATTTGTGTTTGTAATTTGTATGAACCATCAGGCCATCATCCTGCCATCACACTGACATAAAATGAAAGTACACAATGTACAATTTAAAGTACAAATAGCTTAATCCTTTTTTTAATTTACTAAAACATAGTGAGTTAGAGTTTCGGATTTGAACATGTTACTTTCCATCTGAAAGTATTATTATTATTATTATTATTTATTATTATTATTATTATTATTATTATTATTATTATTATGTAAAATTTTAAAAGAAGAAAAGAATTAATGGTCTCATAAGAACTTTTCTCCTGACTTGAGTGGTAGGAAGTCCACTCCTCAGGATTCATGGTAAGTTCACCCAGATTCGAGCTCCATCGGAGACAGACGCGTTTGTTCTTTATGTGTCACTAGGTTGAGAAAATATGAGCAAATACTACATCATAATAAAGTCAATAAAATTCAAAAAAAGGTTCTGAAAAAAACACAAGAATTTACTCAAATGATGATTATTACTATGAAATACTTCCTTCGTCCATAAAGATAGGGACATATTGACTAAAAGTGATGAAATAAGGAAAAGAAAATTTTGTATTGATTTTCTAAAAATATTCTTGATGTGATGGATAAAAGTAGGATGTGATGTGTAGATTATTAGAAAAAAGTATGATGTTGATAGGTAGGGTATGAAAATTAAGTAAGGGGTAAAAATGGTATTTTAATAGAAATGAGAAGGACTTTTGGTGACACGTTTTATTGAAACGTGAAAGACGTTTTGGGTCAGAGGGATTACGTAGTACGGAGTATATATTCTCTGGTTTCATAAAATTCTTTTTACTCCTTTTTAATGTCCCAAAATTACTTTACTCTTCTTATTTTAGTAATGAATATAGCTACCAGTCATTTCTCTTCTCTAAACAATTTCTAACTACATAATTTTTTAACAACTTTCTTAAAATTTTATTTATAAAATTAAAGTGTCAAGAATTTAATTGAACAGAGAGAGTATTTCATGGTGTAAATATTAAACTTGTGGATATTAATGTAAACCGACCAAACCATATTAAATAATGATTTGTGTGTATAATAAAATAAATAATAAGTGCAAACAATTAGGGAGTAGCTAGCAAGGCCGCAAGAGTAGATGCAAGAATTTAAGATTTCATGTCGTCACAGCAAACTTGATCTACTTATATTTAATTATTTTCCATATATTATCTTTATATCTGGAGTATTTGTTTTGTTTTGATTTTTTACATTACAAATTGACAATCTTTCATCATTAACCAAATGAAATGATGTTGATACAAAAATTAATTTCTTAGATTTATCTTTTGCAACAGTATCAAAATATTTTTTTATAAAATTGTTGTACCATATAATTTTTTATTTAATTATAGGTCAAAGATTGATCCTGATTACTGCAAAAATCAAAACAGGACAAATATTCAAATACAAAATATTAAATTTTTTTTCAAAATTTATAGTAAAAAGAGTCCAATTGAGCAAAAAAGTCAAATTGTGACATTCATTTTCGGAGGGAGGTATTAGTATTAAGTACTCCCTCCGTTCTCACAAACACTTCCTCTTTCATTTTTTTCACTTCCTATAAAATACTTCCACTTTTTAACCACTTTTATCCTTATTTTTTTGTATCCTATCTATCACATCATACTTTTTTTCTAATAATTTATTCATCATAATTTTAATTTTACCCATCACATCAAGGACAAAATTGGAAGTCGGTACAATTTAACACTTCCTTATTTTTACATTTAGTCAAACTAGAAACTCTTTTTTAGAACGGAGGAAGTATTAAGTCATGGTTCTGAAAAATTAAAGTACAAGTTACATGGTTCTCAAAAAAAGGTGGAACGCCCACTTCGGACGACCCCACACCCCGACCCGACAAGATTGTGAGGGTGTATCTTAATGTGGTTTTTAGAGAGATCGTCCCGTGACCGGTGGCGCACAAGGAGCTATTACAAATAATAGAATTCCTACGTTGCCGCTGCCGGAATTGGACTCTAGGATCAATAAACGTGATATACTTTCCTCGGATCAGTTGAGCTAGTGTGCGCGCAAGTTACATGGTTCTGAATAATACACACAAGTCATGCAATGTGAGGGCAAAGCTTACGCCCCGCTGGCATAGTTCACTTAATTACATTTGCCAATCTGTCAACAAGTGCTATTAAAAGAGCTAGCTCGCTTCTAGAATTCTCCATAGAATTCTTTTTCTAGGTTGAGATCTACTCCTTCTTCTCACTTACTATTCACACGGTCAAACTTTAATCACTTTCTTTAACTATTTTCATTAGGTATTTGATAAAATAATATAGTCTTGTCACCATTTGTTTTGTAGAACTTTTGATGTAATTTTTAAATATATAAATTTTATTTTTTAATTTTACACCTACAATCAAATAAATTGAATTAAAAATAAAGTCGGTCAAACATCGTAAACAAAACTGGAAAGAACATTATATGACGGAGAGAGTATAATCTAACATAAATTCTTAGTGCATCTAAAGTACGTGTGTTGTTGGATTTGGATATGTGGGAGAGGTAATTACAACGTTGCCTACATAGCAACGTCAGATTGATTAGAATATAACCAACCTAAGGAAATTTGATAGACTTAAGGAATCGCGAAATATGATTAAGTTAAAGTATTTTGGTGGATACCGAAATATTTCAGTTTGATAAGACATAAGTATGTATAACAAGTACCGAAATTCTGTATATCCCAAACATATTTTGTGGCTCCACATTTACACTATGTTTGGTTCAAGTAATTTGAAAAGGAAAAGAAAAAAAATAAATTGGAAAACAGTTTTTCATGTTTGGTTGGAGAGGAAAAGTGGAAGGAAAAGAGAATGAGAAGGCAAAATTTACTAAGAGGAGGAAAGCCAAAATTCCTCCCATTTTGGTGAGGAAAATGAGAGAAAATCATTTTCTTTTCTTTTCCTACCAAATTCCTTGAACCAAACATAGTGTTAGTGTGAATAATTGTTTCTCCTAGCGTAACATTTGAATGTTTGATGATACTAAACATTCGAATGTATCCTTTTGCAAAAGGTGATGGTGGTAAATTATCACTAAAAATTCTAATATTTGAATACATGGTTCATACATTTGAAGAATGTTTACTAATTTTGACTTCACTTACAAAAATCCAATTTTCTTAAAATAAAATAATAATGTTCAAAATAAAATTTTTCTAAGCTGACTTAGGAGCTCAACCCTAGCCAGGGACTCTAGTCCGTCCGATCCGTTGGACCTCGCTCCTTGCCACCTTGCACAGCTCGTCCAGGCTTCCATGTTTCTAAAATAATTTTAAATTGTATCAAAATATTTTTTTAGATATCTGTCTCTCAAGTATTAACCATGGAAAATATTTTATTGCAAAAAAATTCTTCCTACCAAACATTGGATATTTTGATGGGTTTTGATCAAAAATTATTTTTAACTTAAATATTTTTTTTGACAAAATATTTACTCTGAACCAAATGCATCCTAAACGCAGAATATGAGAGTAACTTTTCTTTTTTAAAACACTGATGAAATTGTAAAAGAAAAAAAAAGTTAGTGGGTGTTGCGCAGTTGGCAAAGACAAGGAGTGCCAAGGAAATAGGACTCGAGTTCGACCTGGTAACTGTAATGGGAGGCAACTATGCTAAGCATATGACCTCTGCAAGTACCTGTTCATGACTTCATGCTCTACTATTTAACCGTCT